GTGATGCTCAGTCCTCTAGCACTGGCACAGAGTGGAGATATGTAGAGCATCCTAGACCCATTGACCAAGACCCCTAAAATATGGAATTGAGAGGATTCCAAGTCACCCAAAAGTATGGGTCCAGAGTGAGAGGCCATGGAGTCACAAAAAAGGGAGAGGCAGCTTGATATGAGGTCATCTATTAAAAAGGGAAAGGGGATCAGAGAGGGTCACTGAGATGAGAGAGAATAATGACACAGAAAGAAAAGACTCTACAAAGAATGAAGAGATTTGGCCTTCCATCCCACGAGAGAGGTGGTGAATCCATGCATCTGTAGAGATTGTAGGGGAGGAAAGGAGGGTTGGTTCTAGGGCATTGATATACTCTGCTTTTCCTCCTCCACCAAAGCAAAAAAAAAAAAAAGCTGGGTTATGACTAAGCCCATAGTTTATCCTTACACAATAATCAAATTTTCAACTTTGGATACTAAGGCCATTTAATTCAAGACGCTTCCTTTTCTTGTAATTCTTGGCCATCCAAAGCACAAGCCCCTCTGTTTGCCTGTCTTCTCCAGCAGCCTTGCTCCTAGTTTCTCCCTGCTTCCCATCTCTAATTCACTGTCCAATGCCCCTTGCCACCTATTCTGAATCACATATTATCCCAGAGTTTTTAATAAAATGCTCATCTGATCATTTCTAAATTATTTCTTCAACACACATTGGTAATCCTGCATTTCCCAAGTCACTCTCTGTACAATTTTCCATAATGGACACCTGAAGCATTCTCCTCTCTCCTCCGGCCTTCAGTGCTTCATCTGCAGTGAATGATGTCCAACTGGGAGGTTGAAACCATCAGCGATCATTTCAACCTCCCACCTCCCACTCTGCAAACATACTTAGTGCTTTTCTTCCTCATTCTTTTCGATCCTTCCTGGAAGTGAGACCCTATAGTCTGCAGCTTCTACCTCCACCTGTGATGTGGATCACTTCTCTTCTGACTTCCTCATGGACTGTTCTATTCAGCATCTCTACTTCTTTATATTTTTCCACTTCCCCTATCTATTGACTTCTTCCTATCACCATTTAAACAAGATAAATCCTGTTCCATCAAGTGTGCTCCCTTGATCTGCTCTCTGGTTGCCTCCTGGGTCTTCTTTGTAGGCAGTGCCTATTTGACAATTCCTAAACAGTCCACTCTGTAGGATTCTTCTTGGTCTGTCTTCACTCTCTTTCATACATGCTCTTCTCTTTTGAGTCCTCATTCATCTTTCCAGAGACTTTTCCCCCATCTCTTATTTTGGTTAACTTCTACTCATCCTTTAAGCCTCGAACATCACTTCCTCATGGAGGTCTTCTTCTGACCCTTATGTTAGGGTCCCTGCTATATGTGTTTCTACCTCCCTTTCCCTCCCCCATTGTGACATTCATGATGGCAAGTCTTACACCCATCTCCCCTGTTAGTCTTTATCATCTCCTCTCCCTTACCACTAAATCATCAATATCTAATAAAGTGCCAGCACACAGTATACATTTGTATTGGTTTTCTATTGCTGCATAAAAACATTGCCAAAAATTGAACAGCTTAAAATAACATGTATTAATTATCTCACAGTTTCTGCGAATCAGGAGTCCACGCATGGCTTAGCTAGGTCCTCTGTTCAGGGTCTAGCAAGGCTTTGAGGTAAGAATTTGCTTCTAAGCTTATTCAGGTTGCTGGCAGAATTCTTTTCCTTCTGGTTGTATGACAACAGATGCTCGCTTTTTGCGGGCTGTCCCCTGAAAGCTGCCCTCAGGTCCTTGAGGCTATCCTTAGTGCAGAGAGGTCATCCATACATGGTTCTTTGCCACTTAGGCCTCCTCAGTGTGGCTGCTTACATCCTCACGCCAGTGGGAAGAATCACTCTTGTGCATGCTAGCAAGGTGGATGTGTGTATGTGTGTGTATACACAATGTTAATATTATGTATCAATGTAATTATCAGAATGAAATCCCATAATTTTACCATATTCTATTAGTTCAAGGAAGTCACAGGTCCCACACCCAAGGAAAGGAAATTGGGGATTATGCAGGGCATGAACATCGGGCTTAGGGTCTGTCCAAAATATTCAATAGAATTTCACAAAATAATAAATGTATTGGATCCTTATCTCCCACACAATAAAGACTTATGCAAGTCTTATATATGCAAGGCTTATATAATAAAGCTTTTCATTATATAATTCCTGTTTCTCTCTCCACCTGGTTCTTAACGCTTCCGCTGTAACACATCGTTGCTATTCCACAAACGACCATGTTGTTTCATATATTCATGCATTTACAGAAGCCTTGCCCTCTTTTCGAATTATTTTTTTTCTCTTCTTTTTATGCCAGACAAGCCCTTCCCCTTCTCTAAGACCCAGGTAAAATATAACTTTTTAGATACTCCTTCCTTACACACAATATAGACTGAAGAAGTATCTTTAACCTTGTGCTCAAGGCACATAACTCAATTTTTAAAAAGATTTTTTCCCACATTAGGAAACAAAACAGATGAGCATAGGGAAAACAGGAGAAAGAGAGAGAGTCAAACCAAGGAGGGTACTTGGTGTGATGAGCATCAGGTGATGTGTGGAAGTGTTGAGTCACTGTATTTTACACCTGAAACTAATATTACACTGTATGTTAACTAACTAAAAACTTAAAATTTTCTCCCACATATTACTATGAAAAATTTTAAACATGCAATGAGGCTGAAAGAATTTTACACTGTATACCTATATCCCCATTATCTGGATTCTACCACTGAGTAGCCTGTTTTTTAAATTAATATCTTGCATTGATGTGATATATTTGTTGTAGCTGATGAACCAATATTGACACATTATTAGTAACTAAAGTCCATTGCTTATGTTAGGGTTTGCTCTTTATATTATATAGTATTATGGGTTTAGACAAAGACATAATGTCATGTATCCACAATTAGAGTACCATACAGAATCATTTCACTTCCCTAAAAATGTCCTGTACTCTACCTGTTCACCACTCTCCCCTTCTCCCCAAATTCTGACAACCACTCATCTTTTTACTGTCTCTATAGGCTGCTTTTTTCAAAATGTCATAAATTGGAACCATTCAATATGTAATATTTTTAGACTGCCTTCTATCACTTAGTAATATGCATTTAAGGATTCTCTATGTCTTTCATCTTTTTTTTCTTTCTTAATAGCTCATTTTTTAAAATCACTGAATAATACATATTCCAATGTGGATGCACCACCACACTTTGTTTACCCATTTACCCATCTTGGTTGCTTCCAAGGTTTGGCAATTATGACTAAAGCTGTTGTAGTTATTCATGTGTAAGATTTTGTGGACATAAGTTTTGGACTCATTCAGTTAATATCCAGGGGAGCAATTGCTGGCTCATATAGTAAGATTATGTTTAGCTTTTAAGAAACCACCAAGCTGTCTCCCAAAGCGGCTGTACATTTTGTATTCCTACCGGCAAATGAACATTCTTGTTTTACATCCTCACCAACATTTGGGGTTCTGGGCCTTAAACTTTAGCCATTCTACTAGGTGTGTAGTGTATCTCATTGTTGCCTTAATCTGTAATTCCCTAATGGATGTTGAGAATCTTTTCATATGCTATTTGCCATCTATACTTCCTCTTTGTTGTTATGGAATGAACTGTGTCCTTCCAAAATTCCTACTTTGAAGCCCTGAACCCCAAAGTGACTGTATTTGAAGATAGGTCCTATAAGGAAATAATTTGGGGGAAATGAGGTCATAAGGGTGGGGCACTGTTATGACAGGATTAGTGTCCTTATAAAAAGAGACACCAGAGAGCTGTACACATAAATACAGAGGAAGTGCCACATGAGGACACAGTGGCCTACAAAGCCAGGAAGAGAGCTCTCACCAGAAACTGAATTTGCTGGCACCTTGATCATGGACTTCTAGCCTCCAGAACTGTAGGAAAATAAATGTCAGTTGTTTAAGCCCCCCAGTCTATGCTATTTTGTTATGGCAGCCTGAACAGACTAATGCATTTGGGAAGGTATCTGTTCAGATATTTGGCGCACTTTTAATTGAGTTGTTCTTGTTCTTGTTGTTGAGTTTAAAGATCTTCTTATATATTTTGGATCCAAATCATTTAATGGACAATGTGTTTTGCTAATATTTCCACCTAGACAATGATATAGGTAGGGTTTTAGCTCTGAATACTTTGTTTTGCAATTGCCTTTTTATGAACCTATCATTCCCACTAGTCTATAATCTCTCTGAAGGTGGAGCAGTGTCTTCACATTTAGGCATTCAAGGGTTTTAGGTCTTGTCCTGACAGGTTCCAGTTACTCAAGCAAAAACCTTGGAGGCATTCATAAAATCTCTTAAGTGAGCACAGAGCCTAGCACGAGTCAGTCACATAATATAAATTACTGGCTGGCCGGTTGAATAAATGAGTGGATATATAGTGACATGAAAGGAAAAGCTGATATATCTTAAGGAGGGGTTCCGTGTCAGGCAGAGGGGTCAGGCCAGCACCGGAGGGCTGGGTTATGGCCGCTGGAGACAAATGTCTGTGTCACAACCAGGGGTTAGCATCACACAGATGGGAGGGGTCACTGTCCTGAAGGTAGTAGTTTAGAGAAGGGCCTGATTTCAGAGTTTGACAAAGGGTGGACCAGAGAGGAGGGGGCTGGGAAACACTCTGAGCTCCAACATTGCTCAGATTAGGTATGTTTTACCCTGGAAAGGGAAAGTAAAATGCTGAATTCCAGATCCATTCTCTTCTCTGTCAGGGACCAAACCACCTGATCTCCATTCTTGTCCTTCTGATACCTGACACCATCCCTTATTCTGACCAATGGACACCTCTTTGGGAACTGAATCCTGCCACTGAAAGAATTCACATATTTTTGTTTTCAACCCTAGAACCCTTTCTTCCTATATCTTACTTAGTCTTCTTCCATCCCTCCTCTCCATCCTTTCCAGAGACCCTGAGCTGAACGTCATCCTTTGAAAAGGCTTTTGACATCAATATGAAGCTTATCCTCTTCTGGGCTCTCTTGAACCTGCCTGGTGAGTATCTTCACATTTTTCTCTTTACTTGCCAAAGAGGAATCCTGGGAGAATCATGAAAGATAGACAGATACAGACAGGAGGCACATTGCAGACTACAAGTGTAGAACTGACTCTCCCTCACCACTGCCACTGTCCCCACCAGCTTTCCACCTGTGACCCTGCCTGCCTGCCTCGCCTCAGCTTGACTGTTTGTATGCTCTTTGGGGAGGCATGGACATTGAAACCCTAACACTAAATCTGTTCCCAAGGAAGACTGTGACCCAGCTCAGGGCCAGTCTAGAGCGGGACTGTTGCCGTCAGGAGGGAATGAGAAGTGGAGGCAGGGGTTGAGAGCAGAGGTTCAACTAATGGACACAGCAGAGCATTCAAGGGTTTTAGGTCTTGTCCTGACAGGTTCCAGTTACTCAAGCAAAAACCTTGGAGGCATTCATAAAATCTCTTTGTCTCACACCCCACATTCAATCTGTTTGGAAAATTTTGTTGGTTCTATCTTCTAAATATATCCCAAATCCAATCACATCTCACCACCTCCACTGATCACAATGGCCAAGACATCATCTTCTGCCTGGATTATCACATGAATCCCCTAAGAGGCCTCTCTGCTTTCTAATCCTACACTCAATACTTCATAAGGAAATGACCATCACTGCCTTATACCTAAAACCCTGATGTGGCTCCACATTCCTTCAGAAGAAAGTCCCACATCTTTACGACGCTCTACAAAACCCTGCATCACTGCTTTTACCTCGATCCTTTCTTGCTCTTCTCCCCCTCACCTGCCATGCCAGCCACACTGGCCTTTATGATACTCCTTAAACAAGTCTTAGGACTCTTGTCCTGATGGTTTCCTCCACCTGGATCCCTGTTCCCCAGATATCTGATGATCTAACTCACCCATCTTCATTCCATTGGTCATCTCTCATGCTGTCCACAGGCCTACCTATCCTGACTTCTGTGTAATATTGCAGAATGCCCCAACACACACACACACACACACACACACACGCACATCCCTGGTACTGCCTCTTCCTCTTTCCCTATTCTACTATTTGTCCCACAGCACCAATCACCATCTAATACACTAAACCATTTACTTATGTTTTGTGTCTACTGTTATGGGATGTCTTCTCTCATCAGAATGTATGAGAGCAGGGGTACTTCTCTGCTTCATTCCCTATATAGCCCAAGCCCCTATAACAGAGCCTGGCGCATATGAGGTGCTCATACTTACTTGTTGAGTGAATACATTATCTCCCCCTCCTCAGATTGTGTTTGCAGTCAGTCTGTTCTTTAAATGGCACTTATATTGTTTTGCCCTGCATTGTTGTAGGGAGAAAGGAGTGAGACTGGTAAAAGCATTCTTAAAAAGGTAAAAACAGTAAGTTCTCCATGAGTAGATTTAACATATGTTCACTGAATTGTAGAAGGTATTTAAGAAAACTTGTATTTTAATCTGAAAAATATTTATTGACAACAAAAGGGAAAACACCTTTATCTTTTGAAATTGATATGTTCCTATCATTTTCTTCATGTTTTTAGAAGAAAGTAAGCCAGTTTGCAAATTTAGTTTATAGAAAAATGTATTACAGAGAAGGGCAGGGGGAACTTAAGCCTATTAAGTAATTTTCCTTTGTTTTTCCTAGTGATCCCTGCAAAAATCTCAGAATTTCCTGTCTATGTTTCTCTTTCCAGTTGCTCTGGCTTTTGATCCAGATTACCTAAATGGCATCACTCCCCCATACCTGGTCTACTTGAAATCTGATTACTTGCCCTGTGTTGGAGTTCTGATACACCCCCTTTGGGTGATCACAGCTGCACACTGCAACTTACCGTGAGTAATAAGCCCCCAATGCCACTTTGTGCTTTCGGTTCTCAGGTTGGGCATAGACTCAGATCCCTCCCTGGTGCCATTGCCCAATGAAGTGGGGTTAGGGAGGCCTTCTGGGGATGTGTTCAGTGGTAGAGAAAAAGGCCTTTGGGAAGGGGCTAATAAAGGCCCATAATGATGGATAGGTAATCTCTGCCAAGTCTTCTCTCAAACAACTACATTGTTCCAGAAAGCTTCAGGTGATGTTGGGGATTACAAATCCATCAAACGACAATGAAAAGAATATACAAGTAGTTGGCCATGTGAAGATGATCCATCATCCGTACTTCTCAATCACTTCTATTGAGCATGACCTCATGTTAATCAAGCTGAGAGAGAGTGTTGAACTCAATGACTATGTGCAACTGGTCAACCTGCCTGAAGAACCTGTCCGTGAAGAAACCATGTGCATGGTCTCCACGTGGGCCTATAACCTATGTGATGACTGTGAGTGACAAGATAATCCTCTTCTCTCAGAATAGGACATACTCTGTCCCTTCTCTTCTCTTGGCTTCTGCAATTCTTCCCAATGAGGCTTCTTTTTTTTTTTTTTTTTAAGATTTTATTTATTTATTTGACAGAGAGAGACACAGCGAGAGAGGGAACACAAGCAGGGGGAGTGGGAGAAGGAGAAGC